AGAGAGAGAGAGGAAGAGAGAGAGAGCGAGAGAGAAAGCGAGACACAGAGAGCGAGAGAGGAAGAGAGAGAGAGAGCGAGAGAGAAAGCGAGACACAGAGAGCGAGAGAGAAAGAGAGACACAGAGAGCGAGAGAGAAAGAGACACTATCTAACCGGTTAGACTGACAGTCCAGAAGACAAGTATGACTTGAAGCCAATATACCCGATTTGCGCATTGTCGAACAGTGTATTCGCTCGGCAACTGTGCGTCAATCACCAAAAAATGTGTCCGTTGCAATGGCAAAAATGTTGCCAAAAGCGGCATGCAAAAAAAAAAAAAAAAAAAAAAAAAGGAAACGAAATGCAACTGCAAGTTTTTACACATTTAACAGACACACACACACACATACACACACAATGGGCTGTGACAAACCATAAACACACACACACAACACACGTGTCTTGATTATTGAAAAAACAGAAACCGCAAATGTTGTGGTAGGAGGCGACAGGCATTGCATGCCAGAACAATGGTCATTTGAGCTCGATTTGTTTCGAAAAACGTTATGTAAATACACACACACACACACACACATACACACATATGCAGAGAAATGCAAATCTACAAATCTAGCAACCAACAACAACAACAACAGCAAAAAGAAGAGCATGCTCTATACAAATATTTTACAGTATGTTTTGTTGGTCAAATGATGGTAAACAACAGCAACAACATTCATCTGTCTATCTACAGCAGATGTGCGAAATGGTATGTGTGTGTGTGTGTGTGTGTGGTTGATTGTGCGGGCGTGTTTTTTTTTTTTTTTTCATTTTAAAGTTGTAGTTACAAAATATGCACAAGTCTGGCAGAGTTATTTATATTGTATGTCGCACAAAAGCACAAATAAATATACTAGAAAGCTAAGCAGTGCGTTAACAGATACCCTGGACATTTTTATGTATTAGTGAGGCATACTCTAACTAAACTACAGCTGAAGCTGAACTAAGTTAACTCCTCTTTGAGGGTGGAGCTGAGAAGTGAAGCCTTCAGCAGCTGCAAAGATGCCTTAGGTTTATGATTAATTTAGCGTTTCCTTAATAATTTTACATAGTCTTACTTACTTAGATTAGATTAGCTTAAGAATTTTTGGTAAGTAAGAGCTGCAAAGCTATGGATAGTGAATAAACTCGACAGTAGCTACTAGCGATATTATTCATGGCTTCTTTGATAGGCCTAGCAGCTATAAAGTTTCTATCAAAACAAGTTTTTTTTTTTTTTTTTTTTTTTTTTTTTTTTTAAGTTTTCATGTTAAAATTATTTATTTTTCAATTCAATGCAATCTATATAAACTTAGTCAATAAGTAAAGTGATTAATACTAACAAAATGTAATTATGAAATATTAAATAATACAATATTATATTACTGAAATATTTATAATATATATAAAAGTAAAAAGTTTCTCGTAGAAATATTAAGATAAAAAATATAAATTAATTATTAATTATTTATTAAATACTGATTTCCTGATTAATAGCTAAATGTTTAATTTTATTAATTTTTATTTATTTATTTTTAATTAATTTGAATCAAAAAGAACATTTTTTTAAATACTTATTTTAAAAATTTGTATTTATAAATTTATAGATTTATTTTGGGTACACTGTTGAATTTTTTTTAGAGCTTAAGCCTTGAACCATCATCCTTATTTTCGGTCATCTGTCAAAGATATTTGATAAGCATATTAAATTATTATTATATCTCCATTTTTGAGTTCATTAATTTTTATTAATATTGCTTAGCATTAATACCAATTAAATAAATTCTTAACCAACTGTAAAATTAAATCTTACCTTCCTGTACCCCAGTGGATCAGTTTACTCACACTAATTGACTCTATTATCCGCTAAGTGAGACGGAATATCTAACACAATCTAATATTGACCCATCTAACTGTTCTAGTAGAAATCAGTACAATATATGTGTATTGAAAAAAAAAAAAAAAAACTACATTATTTTCAAGCATTTCCAAGCTCAACAATTGATTCCACGCGAAGTTTAATGTTACCCAAATCAAGTTTGAGTATTATCGAGCTCACATTCCAAACTGCTCAGGTGTAGCTCTTAAAGATCCTGAGATATGCAAAATACAATGAAGAGTTAACTTAAAGGTTTTCCATAGATCATATGAGATAAAGCACAGCTTCTGTCAATCATACCTGTATATCCGGTATATTTAGGCCAAGTTATATAATACTGCTAAACAAACTTCTATATTTTATATTACCTCGCTTAATATTTCTTAACTTAATTTACAGGGTATTTCAGACGACAAGCGCAAAGAAACGAGTGCAAAATGAATAATTTGTGTGACAATGCTGCCTGAGCCTGAGCCGCAGTCGTTTCCTGTTTTTCTGTTGCTTTTCGGGCCAGAGAGTGTGTCCCAATGCAAATGGAAAAAATATCTTAACATTTGCATCTTTTACATTTCGCAATTGTTGGGCACGAGCAAGGGGGTGGACAGAGCGCGTAGCTGGCAGTCAAAGATTTCACAAGAATGGAACCAGAGTCAGAGTCGGAGTCAGAGTCAGAGAGTACCCGAATCCGAATCAGAGAACCCGTTGGCTGAACCGGCAACTGGCAGCCAAATATTCAGAGAGCTAGTGGAAAAGTGGGCGGCTGTTGGAGCAGGGGCATGGCCTTAACTTGAAGCTGCGTCTCACGTTTGTCTAATAGTTGAAATTCATCTGCATAACCATGTGACTGAGTTAACTATGTGTGTATGCTCAGTGCTGTATGTATGTATGTGTGTGTGTTGATGTGCCTACGTGTCTTTGTGTGAGTGTCTGGTTTCACGCTGTATGCACTGCTAATGATTTGATGTCGTCTCCAGCGCAGCTCAAGCTCCTCAAACCACGCGGCCAGAGTTGCCACGTTGTCAAGCGAGCGGGGGGTTGGGTGGCACGAGCTAAATGAGAGAGGGGTGAGGTGGGTGGAGTGGGTGGAGTGGGCGAAGTGGGTGGAGTGGTGCTCAGGCTGGAGTATGCCTTGCCGAAGACAACCTCCTCAGCCATTCTTCCCTCGTCAACTGCATCAAATTGAAGTGCCTGGCAAGTCAAGACTTAATGCCAAAGTTGCTGAACTTTAATATAATCCAAGTTGATGGCAGCGCTGCCAGCGTTGCCAGAGTGTCAAATGTTTGCGCATGAAGTGCTACACTTGGAGCTGAGCACGAAATAAGTTATATGTATGCATGTATATGTACATACATACATATATGTATGTATATGCGATGAAAAAAGTTGCATTAAGACATCTAATTGGCCTTGACTTTAAGGACGCTGCTGCCAGCAGCTCGCGAATTTAAACTTTTAGATTCTGTAAGACTTCATTGCGTGTCCGTGTCGAAAGTGCTTCAGCTGGTGTTTGAGCCAGATCAAATGGAAATTACAGAGCCCTTTTGTTAACTTGAAGTCCTCCTGCTAAAGCGCATGTCAAAGTGTCTGTAACCTACGTCTCATGTTTAGTTGCATGCTAATATAACTATGTTAAGGCCATGTTAGCGCACGTATAGCACCTTTAATTAGAGATAATGTTAAAGTGTATGTTAAATAGCATGTTATTGTGTGTCATACAACGTATGGAAGTGTTAAAGCATATGCTAACATTAAATGTTAAATGATAAATGTAATAAAGTGCATAACAAAAATAATGTTAACGACTATGTTAACGCCAGCTCACATAATAGCTCTTTTTTAGTTCATGTTATTTCAATGGCATTTCAATGTAGTCCAACTTATTTTTGTCCATTGTGAATTAATCGAAATTCATGAATTGCCTAAGAAATTAATAATAAAGAACTTTCCCACGCACCATAAATAATTCATTTTTCATTGATTTATATATTTTTTTTCCATATTTATTTCTCATTTATTTTGCAATTATTTGTTTTTTTAGTTTGTTCTGTTGTTGTTTATTTCATATTTGTTTTGGGTATTGGTTTCGCTACTGCTTGGGGCTGTGTTCATTGATCAGAGTTTACAATACAAATACAAACAATATTTTTATATACATGGAAAATAGGCTAAAAATTAGAATGGGAAGAAGAAGAAGAGAATCGCACCGATCTATGAAATATTGTTGAGACTTGCAAGTATTTCTTTTATTATTTTTTATTTCCATTCATATTTTTTTAGTTTTGTTAATTATTTTTTGTATGTGAGTATTTTGACTCTTGAAATCTTTTTTTTTTTTTTTTTTTTTTTTTTAGTTTTCTGTAGCGTAGACATTGAATGCATTACGTTTTTCTGGTATATATATATATGTATATATGTTTGTGTGTGTGTGTGTGTTTGAGTGTATTTTTATTTATATATAGATAGATTTTTCTTCTTTTTATGGATCTGTCACATGAAGAACTTAGTTAACTTTAACTTATCTTAAAATCGAGAGTTTATTTTCTTCGTTTTCAATTGTTGCTAAATTGTTGTTGTTATTTATACTTATATATGTAACTTTGATTTGCTATGCGATATCGTTTATCTCAAAAAAAAAAAACTTTATACATATATATAATATTATATATATATATGACTGTATTGTATATATATTTAGTGTATAAACTTTTGTCTTAGTATTTGTAAAATGTATTTCTTGAACTCTCTCCCTGCCTCGCTGTGTTTCTCTCTTTTTAACCCTCACTCTCTCACTCTCTTTCTCTCTCTCTCTTCCATTTCGCTAATACATTTGTGGTACGTATATTAAGTCAGAGTCAGGCTGATTTAACCGTTAGATTACTATATTGGGGCTGCGTATACCCTAGCATATTGCCGAATCGTGTCACAAGAGTTTGCATTATGTAATTCGAGTATTTTGCTATCCACATATATACACATAATATGTATCATGCATATACATATACATATATATATTTTAATGTAGGTATATTGAATATTGAACACACATACATACACTATCCATTGATATACATATATATGTTTTTCTTTTTTTTTTTTTTTGTTTTTTTTTGGTTTTCTTTTTCTCAGATGCATTTTTGGCACATTTTCTTTACGTTTTACTGCAAATATTTTTACACAATATCAAACAGGGAGTTAAGCTGAAACACGCATTAGATAGTTACACATGCACGCACACACATATGCACATAGGTGTATGTGTGCATGTTCTTTAGGGAGAGAGCGAAGGAATTGGATTTGCATTGATTACCTAACGAAATAAAGCTGGGAGTTTCTTGGCATTTGCTCATGTCTTGATTGCACTGGTTCCAAATCAATCTCACTAGTTCAAATTAAAAATCTTGAACTTATACAATTTTCATACTAGTTCAGTTGAGCCAGCTCAGCTGTAAATTTTCTGTGTAGTGGTTCGTTTAATATACTCTTTGATTGGCTTGGTTCAAATGAACTAGTTTTGTAAAATAAAGATATTTTATGCTGTTTAAAAAAAGATAGAAAAAAAATACACAAAAATAAAATAAAATGTATAATTAAGTTTGCTTTTCGTAGTAGTTCATCAGGTGAACCAGTTCGCTAACTTGCCAGCCTAACTGTAAAATGAACAATGCCGAATTTTAGCTTATGTAAATGAAACCAATTGCATTTCATGAACAAATGCGAGCAATGCGTTAACAAGAGGTTAAGAACACTACAGGTGCGAATATTTACAATATATCGTATTTCATAAGTTGTATATAAATATTTATCATAAATATGATTTGAGCTGAACCGTATATATAGTATAACTAGTTGTATATACAGAGACCCCTAACCCACCCATAATGAAGTCGAACAACAAAAATAACATAAATATGACTTGTAGACAAATATATGTATATGGGGATTTCTGGGGCTAAGCTATGTTAGATGTTGGATTATCCAGCTGGGTTTCTATCATATTCAAGATTATTTATAGTATTCATGTGATTGGGTCTTTAGTTTTTTGTTATACTCTTGCAGAGCCTATTGATATCTGAGAGGATATAATAAAATTACGTCAGAGAGACCAGCTGTTCGGTATAGTTCCCTTTGAATACTCAGAGAAAACGAATCGAGGAGCAGGACAGCCTAAATAGCATATAGCTGACTAGGGCTAGCCACATATCGAAATACTAAAGAATTTTATTGAAATTCTTGTTTCGAAACAAATTACCTATAGACAATATATATCATATATATCAGACAACTCTATCGATTGGTTTGCAGTTCTAAGATGATATGATATCTATGTAGTTTCTCTGCAAGAGTCTTTAAGCTTCGGCGAGCCGATCTTTTCTTTTCCTTTGTAATACTTGAAGTAGCTAAAGCCTGTGGAACCGAAGGAAAACAGAGAGAGTAACATATGAACTTTGACATTTTCTTGCTGCTTTCGTCTTTCCGCTTATCTTAAATATTTAGTTTTAGTTATCTTTTGGTTTTATTTTTTATAACGAGGTAACATTTAAACGCGTTGTTTTTCAATTTCCATTTAATCTTAACTACTTACGTTTACATCAATTTCATTCATTATTTATTTTATTTTTTTCCTGGCTTTTATATTGAAATATGACCAAAAACCTTGAGCCCCAAAAAAAAAAAAAAAAAAAAAAAAAAAAAAAAATGATGAAACTCTTCAAACTTTTGTTCATGTTTGTCTGTGTGTGTGTGTGTGTGTGGGGGGCGTGGCATATCCAATTTTGGCCATGCGTGTGTGTTGTCGTCTTTTGTTGTTGCCAGCGCATTCTTATAATTACAATTTAATTAAGCTATAATATGAAACGAGCTTTGCAGCTGCCGTCGCCGACACCGTTCGCTGCAGCCATTGTCCTTGTTGTTGTCACTGTTGGTGCTGCGACTCGAGTCGAACCATCGCCCTGCCCCCTTGGCCCAGGCCCACTGCCATTTGCCAGAGAGCAGCAGCAGCAGCAGCAGCACACATTGGCTGTTAATATTACAAATAGCGCCAATAGAAATGGCTTTATTAGCTGGCGCGCCTTGGCCGCACCCCCGCTGCCCATGTCGGCGTCCTGGCTGCGGTCCTTGTAGAGGCGACCGTTCTGATTGCGCGAGCCATCCTCGTGGCGGTTCTCCTTGAGCACCACCTCGTTCTTCTGCGGCATTTGAGACGTGGAACAAAAGCGTTTTGTTTGATTTCATATCAATATCATATGTTTGCTTACAAGAGTGTGTGTGTGTGTGTGCGTGTGTGTGTGTCTGTGTTTGTGGGTGTGAGTGTGCATTGTTTGCTTCACTTACCGTCACTTCGTTCAGATCCTCTTCGCGCTGCGCTTTTTTGCCAGGACGTTCCATTTCTGAGTGAAGGAAAAAAAAACGCCGAAAAAATGCAATAAAAATGAATGAACTTGTTCAAGTGAACCGAAATAGTAACCATATTTTTTTTTTTTTTTTTTGTTTTGTTTACATTAGCAATTTTGAAAAGCTTTCTTTTTGTTTGTAGCATAGCAGGAAATCGCTAAAAAGCTGACTGGTTCCATCTAAAGATGATCTAAATATAATCCATCTAAATATGATTCGGTTGGTCAGCTCAAAAATGAACTAGTTTAAGTTGATAGCTAAAGAGTTAAATATTTTTGAGTATCGAACTATATCTGAAACAAACTAGAAGAGTTATCTGTCTAATATTGATTGATTGAATGCAATCTAAGTAAATAGCGAAAGAGCTAGTAGACAAAAAGAACTAGTTCGAAATACTTAGCTTATTCCATTAACTAATAGTTCTTCCATCTAAAAGAATCAGCTTGACAGTCAACAGATAACTACTTGAACATGAGGCCTACTTCAATAGAGAACTAGTTCTTTTGTGTAAGTAGGTGTTCAACATCTCGATAGCTTACCGTATAGTCGTATGGTGCCTTCGGTGTCGCCAATGCTGTTCTTCGAGATGCACTTGTAGCCGCCAAAGTCGGTCGACTGCAGCCGTCGAATGTGAAGAATCATCTCGATGGCGTACATGTTGTTCTCCTTCTCGGTGAGGGCATACCGATCGCCGGCTATAATCATTTCGCCTGCAACGAGAATCGAACATCAAAATGGGAATCGCCTCATGCGAAATGCGAGAAAGCAGGAGCAGCAGGAGCAGCAGCAGCAGCAGCAGCGAAAAGTTCACTTTGATGATGACATTTGTGCTGCCAGCGACGACAGCTCGTGCCATGCTGTCACGTTTGCAATATACGTCAAATGCACTTGACAAGAGCCACACAGAAAAACAACAAACAAAAAAGGCGGAATACAAAGAAAAAAAAATAAAACATAGAGGGAAAACAGACGAACCGGCTAAGGGTTTCAGGCTCCAGAACTTTGTGAGCCAACAAGAAAATATTTGAGCATCGAACACGAACCAAATAAAGACAAATTGCGGCATTGAAGGGTTTATAAAGCTTCTGGCTTCTTCCTATACTGCTACATTCTCTCTCTCCCTCTCCCTCTCCCTCTGCCTGTCTCTATCTCACTCTTTTTCTTGCTTTCTTTTTCTGCCCCCAGTCAAATCCAAGCACCAAATGGAAAACGCGCAAAAAATAGAAAAAACTGGCACTAGTAGAAAAAATCTATGAACTGGGTGTACAATCTAGAAATACCTTTTATTTAGCTTTATGGCCTCAGCCATAAAATATATCCATCAAATTATCGATATATTATTAGATTGATCGATAGAAATGGCTATGGAATTGAATCTAAGTTGATGGATTATATATAGTTACAATTTCATAGTTAAAAAATCTATAACTATTATCAAATAAATGTCGATAACTATGATACGATAACTACGCTCTATATATCATCATTATAATAGATGGCAATGCTTGCATGATCAGTGAATTACAGTTAATTATCGATTAATTGTCGATATTATTATTATTATATCGTAAAGCTTCGATAGGTGATGCTAGGTATCAGGCATTGCCCTCGTCGAATTGCTCGCTCACAGGGTATGCAATGCGTAGCGCGTTATTTCGAAAAGCAAAAACAAAACAAAATGAAAAAAAAAAAAAAAACGAAGAGTAGGAAAATAAAAGAATAAAACGACAGCAGAGCCAAAGGACTTACCGTTCTCGCGCTGCCAGTAATTGATGGCCTTCGGTGATGCCTCCACGTTGCAAATTAATGTGACATCCGTTAGAACCGGGGCGCCAACCAATTGATTTGGCACTTGCACCAGCGGATGAACTACAAAGTGAAAGAGAGAGAAAGAGAAAGAGAGAGTGTGTGAGCGAAAGAGAGCAGTGAGTGTGTGTGAATGGGTTGGCTGAAACAAGTTGGTCAACATAATCATCAAGGCTGCCAATGGACTGCATCAGCTAAGCAACTAGTTGCCAGCCCCTCGAGCGGCCAATTAACTGGCGAACTGGTTCCGAGCGTGAGCATTGGATGCTGTGACACGCATTCGAAATGCCGTTATTTGTTAATGGCAGCAACGTCAGCTGATACGTTTTTAATTGAAAATGAATTATTTTGCTGTTAGCCCCAAACATGAAGCCAACAATTTTTTGTTCCTTTGTGCAGCCCTTTGTGCCGCTTGCACTTTGCTAGTCGATGCAATCGAGCATATAAGCTGGTCTGCCTTTGAGTGCTGTTAAGGGCGCCCTTCCATGCGATTCACATATTCAGCTACATATATTACACTTGGCCTAACATTCTGTTAACATTATATATACTGCCTACGAGCTATTGGTAGCATAGCTTATGATAGATAGATATAGATATGTTTAGCTTATATTTAGTCTCAGCAAATTTTAGCTAACATAGGTCTAGCTTATGTTAAGCTTATGTTAACTCATTTTTGCCACTCTTAAGTTCCTGTTAATGTACGGTTGCGTCACATTTTGCCAACATAATGTAAAATTCTATTAAATGCATATAGTTCACAGACTGTTAACAGCTGTTAACATAAGTTTACATAAGCTTCGCTTAATTTGAGCATATGTTAACTCATTTATTTATAGACTCTATTATTTTTAACATTCATTTGTTTCATTACAAATGTTAGCTGCAGCTTACTCAGAGGTAATGTTAAGTTTATGTTAACTGTTAGCTAACATGCTGTTAAGCGTCCTCTGGCCTAATGCCAAACATTTTCCCAAATACACAGTCGAATTCACGTTAGCATTCTGCATTTTGCTTAATTTTTTATAGGGTATTTTCGTTCTCTGTAAACTTGGCTTTTGCTCTGCTCTCCTCACTCTTTTCTCCTACTGTCTTCTCTTCTCGGGTCGTGTCAGTTTGTGGTTTTTGCTCTGCAATTTTTCTTGCTTCTTTTTTTTATATTTTGTTTTTTTTTTTTCCGTTTTTTCCCTTTTGTTTTGTTGTTTTTGGCATTGTCTTGGGCTTTGCCGCTGACCATCATTGTTTTTGGCTTTTCAACTTTGGTTTTTTCATTTTTCTTGCTCTTATTTCGGCCAGCTGTCCGCCATGGCATGCCCAAATGCCCCCAGCCGGCCCCCGCGCCCCACTCTCCTTGGCAGCCTTCACTTCGTTAGCTGCGCCGTTGCATTGCTTGCGTTCAACCGTTCATTATTGGTCAATTTATTGGATTTGTGCATGCTTCAAGTGTGTATGTGTGTGTATGAGTGTGTGTGTGCATGAGTGTGTGTGCGTGTATCTGTCATGTAGCATATGTCATGTGTTGTTTGTCTTGACTCGTGTTGTAATCCCTGCGCCATTTTTGTGGCTCGGCTTTCCTTGTTGCTGTCGTTGTTGTTGTTGTTGTTGCTGCTGTTGCTGTTTTCGCATTGCCCATCAACTTATTGAAAATGTAATTTGTTCTAATAGAGTTTTACAGCTGCTTCGACAGAGGCAGCAGCATCAACCCCAACAACAACAACAGCAACAACAGCAATAACAACAGCAGCTGAAATTACAAAGGCTTACACGCGGCGTATGCGTAATTTGCTGTTGACTTTTCTCTGTTATAAATTGATTATACGCGGCTTGGGCAGACCATGAAGAAAATGAACGAGTAGACGTCCAAATTCTTTCTTTCAAAGACAGACACAGATTGGGAGATGAAAGAAAGCAAGATGAGAATGATAGATAAAGATAGTAAGAATATCAAGAGAAAGCCTAGGACGCAGAGACGAGCATGGAACATAGAAAAGGCCGTAGAGAGAGTGAAAGCAGGGAAAGTGAGGTGAAGAGTGAAGAAAGAATGATCGAGATCTGAACGTAGGCACCAAAGAAGACAACAAAGAAAGGGAATAAGGGAATAAGAACATATTTTAACATAACCAATTTATGTATTCAAAGCACATTGTATAAGAAGAAGAGCCAGTTACTGTGGCAGCATGAGCCTAGCCGCTGTTAGAGCCGTCAGTGGTGCTGCTGTCAGTGCTGGGGGCATCGGTGGTGCTGCCCGCACTCGTGATGGAGTCAGTGGTGCGAGCTTCAGTGGTGCTAGCTTCAGTGGTGCTAGCTACAGTGGTGCTAGTTTCAGTGGTGCTGCTTTCAGTGGTGCTATCAGTGGTGCTGGGCTCGGTTGTGGTGGAGCGCTTACCGTGTCCGCCATGTCCACAATCTGGACCATGACCGCCTGGACCACGACCACCAGGTCCAAAATAACCACCACGGCCGCCAGGACCACCGAAACCACCTTGGCTACCGGGACCGCCGCGACCACCGCCTGGACCACCTGGCCCACCTGAACCTCCTCGACCCCCGCCTGGACCGCCGAAGCCAGATTGGCCACCGTTTGGACCACCTGGACCGCCTCGACCACCGCCTGGACCGCCGAAGCCAGATTGGCTACCAGGAGCTCCTCGGCCACCGTCTGGACCGCCTGGTCCACCTGGACCACCACGACCACCGTGGTGTGCTACGGCAACGGCCACCAGAGCGAACAGTGTTACAAGTATGTAGGTGCGCATGATGTCTTCTCTCTCACAGTTGGAAACTGACTTTGAGTTAGTCCAGCTCTACTTGGACCTTTTATAGCACTTCTATTGACTCTGTCTCTACGTCAGCTCAACTGTGTGCTCAGCCTCTTCAATTTCCAGCTGTCCGTCCGTCCAACTAAATAACAAAAACAATTGCGTCACCGTCTCGCTTTCCATTCAGAGACGTCGTCCGAGCTGCGTTGAATAGCACAGCTGTTCTATTTATTTGATCATTGTGATCTATTTGATCTAACGGCCAGTGGCTGACAAGCGTAAATCGAAGAAAATGCGTCAAAAGCAAAAATAGGTCTCATGAATGAACGATAATCACAATGATAATCAATATTAAATTGATAATCATAATGGAGTTGATAATGATAATCAGACTGAGTAAAAGATAATAATTATGATGACTATAATGATGACAGTCCTGATGATAATGATAATCACCTACTGCATACTAAATACAGAATAATTAATACCAAGAAAAAATACCAAATTTCTTAGCATGAGTTCCTCTGCTTCTGATTAAGTCTCTGAGTAATTGGAGCCTGTCGAGTCGAATGGCTTTAAGGAATACATGGCAGGCATTCAAGCAGAGCATCACACACGTAAACACACATAATCTCTTCCCTTTTACTACTATTCATCTCCCTCTCAGAGTCGCTGTCCCGCTCTTGCGTTTCCCATTCGCTGACAGGCTGTCTGCCTGTCTTGTTTGTCTGGTGGAAATTTAAAAGCCAAGGATCCACTTAATTTTCTGATTAAAATCAATCAAGCAAAGCGCTGAACCAACTTAAGAAATCAAGCGGTAAATGTGCCCATGGGGGCGTGGCCCCAGCGCGGAGGTGGAGGAGGCATTGGGCGTTTGGCGTCGTTGCTGTCAGGTTAAGACAAACAAGCAGCAACCGGCTGAAGATGAAGACGAAGACGAAGATGAGGGCGAAGAGCAGTGCAAAAAGCAACGAGCAGAGACCAGAAGAAATCAGAAAAGACAGCAGCAGGAGGAGGCGACAGGAAGCAGGAAGCAGGAAGCAGGAGGCAGGAGGCAGGAGTCAGGAGGGAGTGGGAGAGGGTAGCAGGTAGAGTCACGCCCATATGGGGGTTTTAAATTGAAATTGAGACGCAGTCGCAAAGCCAAAGAGCAATAAAGGGGAAAAGGGAACAACAAACGTGGCCGTGGATGGTGGAGGTAGACGAATGACTGATAGACAAACCGAAGCAGAGATGAAAATGAAATGAAATGCGAGAGTCACAAAAATTGAAGTACAAGATAAAAAGAGGCAGAAGAAGGAGAGGAAGAAGAAGCAGAAGCAGAAAAGAGAAAAGCGGAAAAAATGGAAATTAATTTTTGCGGCAGTTTAAGCAGAGGCGTGTTGACACCGACTGGATGGGATGGCATGGGGGTGGGGGAGTTGGTTTCTCTTGAGATAAACAGAGGAGACTGCTCCTTCACCTCTTGAGGTGCGAACATATTGGTCGTGTCAATATAAATTGCAGATAGAATCTTTTACCTACAATATAAACACACACACACGCACACACTCACACATGTATATATATAGCCTTGCACATATTTTCAATTTAACGAAACTCTCCCTCCGGCATCCGGCGGCTCACAGCGTTTTTGTTGTCCCTTTGCAAAAAAATTTCATTAAGTTTAATGCGCTGCAGCAGCCGCTGGCACATCGAACTCCAGAGGGGACTACGGTTTGCTTTGTGGGCGTGTCAGCTGCTGCCTGACTCCCGCCCCCATTCACAATTACCACATCACATGATACCAAAGGCTGCTTGCCAGCCAGCCAGCCAGCCAGTCAGGCAGGCAGTCGAAGCCAAAAGCTGCTCAACTTTTACAACAGAAACGTGACGTCTAGACTAGAACTCGCTGCGGCGTCCCTTTGCCCAACCCTAATCGGCTGCCCGTTTCGCCTCCCATTCGCCGCAGGACACGCAGCTAGCCGCTGTCCTAATGCATTTGCAAAGTTTGCCTCGAGTAGGCGGAAGGCGGAAATCGAAACGGAAACACTTGCAGTTCGCGTTATTGCGTTTACGCTGCCGTGTAGCCCCGAGTCGTGCCGTGCAGCACAGTGTAGCGCGGTGCTTAATAGGGTGTACTGTAGCGAAGTGCAGTCGTAGTGGAGTGCAGCCGAGTGTCGCTGGATGTGGGCGAGTGTGCGCTTACACAGCACGCACATCCGCCTAGGTGTGAGACGTTATGATTATTATTCGAGTACCGGGCGTAGGGTCATAAATCAAAGCATTTATTGGCGAGGCGTGTGCACGACTAGCAAACGCCCTGTAGATAGTTATATTTTATTTTTAAATGTCCTTTTTCGTATGTATATTCAGATCTACTCTAAGCAAACTGATAGATATTATTCATATACAAGCATCGATGCATATTTCTAGACACTAATTCTCTCATAATAGCCTTGCATGTTTTACAGGGTATTTAAACTTAAACATAGAATGCATGTATATACTCACAGTGCACCTGTAGCTTCATGCGCTTGCTCACAGTTGGTGGCACTCCGTTGGAGGCGATGCACATATAGGCGCCCATTTCCGATCGCGTGACTTTCGACAGCGTCAGCATTTCGCCCTCCACCAGTATGGCTAAATGCGGCGAAAAAAAAATAGGTTAACATTATGCCAAGTCTGATATGCGGTCGGTCACAAAGTTTAGTTTAGCAAAATGTTACACACTCACCTTTGGTCTTCTGATGGACGCCATTGCGTGCGATTATCTCGCGTCCATCTTCACGCCGCCAGGTGATCTTCGGCTTGGGATGGCCGCGTGCTCGACACACGAGCTTCGCAGAGCCACCTTCCGGAACCATCATGTCGCCGGAGGTCTCCTCGTTTATTATATCCGGTGGTATGACCACCTCCAGGGTGGCTGTCTAAAAGAGATCAATCAATTCAAAACATAATTACGTAAATAAAAATGCATTAAAAAAAAAAAATATTTAAACCTTTTTATTAATTTTAGCAAATCTCAATTTGTTTGTCTTAACTTAGACGCCATCTTTACATGACAATCGCCATACTGATGCAGCCGCCATTTCTCTGCAGCCATAATAATAGTCATGCCATCCCTTTCACTCACTCATTAACATATGTGAAGCCGAAATGGCAAAAAAAGTAGCACAGATTTGTGCGCCAATCAAGAATGGCTTATGAAGTGCAGTATAATACTTTTTCGAACAGTTGTGTTTATAATTATTGTGTGGAATTTATTCGTCTCATACTGCTAAGGCCTTGCCACATAATTTCATTATTTTTATTTTCGTTGCTGTTTGTGCAGCTCTGTTCCACTTTCCATCTTATGCCTATACAACGCCTTCGCTTTGGCCATAATGGCCGCTCAAAGCAAATAGAACAAAAATTGTAGCACAAAATAAACACCAATCGAATTCAGTATGATAGTTATTATAACAGTTACAGTCTCCTTCATTTTCGCGTATGAGAAGATGTCATGCTGCAGAATCTGCTGCACTATATAACTTTCTCGCTCTCACATCTGCATTGATCGAGCGACGAAGCTATGAGTGTGTGCATGAGTAGCTCAGTATAATTTTCCTATATTGTTAGGAGAGAGCGAATCAGACGAATTCCTCAAATATAACAGAATAAGCAGCAATAACGTCTCTGCTTCGATAAATATTTTTATGCATTTTTTAATAGATATTTAATTGCAATCTTTATACAATTCTGCCAGCTTTTACAGTAAATTACTTTAATGTTGTTGCTGCTGCTGCTGACAGTTATGTCATAAAAAATAAAGTCAACGTCCCCAAAGGCCGCAATGGGAGAATGTAAAAATGGAAACAAAATAAACGAAAACGAAAAAAGAAAATTGCGTTAAAGGCTTAAAAGGCAGTCGAGTTGTCTGTGTCGAGCTTTTTGGCTGCCTGCGTGCAGCCTGTTTGCTTTTTATTTGTCTCATATTTGCATTTCACTCAATTCGCTTGATTTTATTGCGCTGTCGCTGCCGCTGCTTCTGCCGCTGCCACTGCTGGTAGGGGGCGGCGCTGCGCTGCGCTACGCAACGGTATGAAACGGAACGGAATGAAATTGAAAACGCAAGCGTTTTGCACACGTCGCGCCGCATTTAATGGACGAATGCTGCAAGGGCTGTCAGCGCACACACACACACGCACACACACACACACACATATACACATGCATACACATATGGGCACACACATAGCAAATGCAGCCTCATTGTTTGTTATTTATTTTTATCTTTAAAGCATTTCATTGTTTGTATATTGCATTTAAATGCCGGCAAGTGTCCTTGCTAACCGCTTGCCCAAACACACACACACACACACACACACACTAGCACATGTGCAGCCCTAAAGTAATCTCATTTCGTTCGGATTTCATTCAATTTTGCGCTTCAATCCAAATGCTCTAATGTATTTGTTAAAAAATTACGCAGTATGTTATAGTCGGACAATAATGAGATGACGAGCTCTATAAATGCATGAGGTAAGCTTGACACGTATTTGGTACTTGCCTTATGCTACCTATGTATTAGTTTACAGTCCAATAACTTATTCAATGCGATCAGCACAGGGTATCTATCAGTCGAGCAAGCCCAGATTAGCTATATTTTTTCTGAATATTTTCATTGAATTTAGGGTAATTTACTAGATTAACTCTTTCTGTTATTGAATTTGTAATCGCTATGCTCCATTTCGACCAGCTGTAGCTGGAATATTTCAGAAAATAAACATAAACTCCCACTAATTTTGTGCAGTGTACCAAAGCTGTTTGACCATGGCTAAATGGTGAATTGCAATCGTGTGCATTCGGCCAATTGCACAAGCATCAAACACATTTATTTAGCTGCAATTCTTTTGTTTTTGTTTATCTTGCTCTGTTTTCTCTGTCTCTCTCTTTTCGCTGAGTTGGCAGCTCGGATCAACAATTCAACAGCGATTGCAATTATCGGAATAGAATGCAAAATCGGTTGGCCAATTCTTAAATTGAAAATGTTACGAATTTACGAATTGTGTGATTTTCTAACTGTAACTAGAACTCTAACGCATAATCAGTAAAAACACCTTCTCTATATTATTATATCACACAAACTGCTATCGATAATAATCGATAAGAAAGCAACGAGACATGCAAGAGGCATTTGTTGCTCATTTTCTGCTCATCAATTTTTATATTACCCAAGTCTATTTTAATGAAAATTTGACCAACTTAATATCAGATTGGTTATCGATAACAGCAAATGCATGGTGATCTGCATTTCCTGTATATCTAATCAATCAGCAACAGCATCTGTTTTATTTCATAGTTGCATCACAATTCTTATGCACACACAAATTATATTTGTAGCTATCGAGTTGATCGATAGCAGCAATCGATAGCTTATTGCATATCTGTGACATACTCACTTGCATTTTCATGGGATCTGTGTTGACCTGGCACATATACTTGCCAGCATCCTCCATCTTAACGCCCCGTATGTTCAGTGTCCAGGTATTGTAGTCGTTGTGAGTCACCGATAATCGATCATTGTTCGTGATCACATGCTCGTGTATTGCCAGAATTGCCTTGGCGTCGGCCTTAATCCAGGCGACCTGAGCCACAGACAGCGCAAAGGCGTTGTTGTTGCAATTGTGGCGATGTTTCAGTACAAATTCAAATATTGAATATGGTTGAGCAATCATTGTCATTAGCATTGTCATTGTCATTGTCATCATATCATATAGTCAATGCCAAGCAATGCCAGCGTGAAGCGTTGTTGTTGTTGTTGTTGTTGTTGCAGCAGTTATTGGCAGCGCCATCAATGCCGCATTCACCAATTTCCGTTGGGTTTCCCCCATTTTTTCAATTTTTACCCGATAGTTTGTTGAAATCGATTTGCGGATATATTAGAATTTAGTTGAAAGTTTCGTTTGCGGTGAAGCCAGTTGGCGTTTTGTTATGGTTCGAGGGCGGTTGTGTGGACAGTGGGCGGGGCGTGGAAATCAAAGTGTTTTTTTTTTTTTTTTTTTTTTGTCAACGATACAAAAGTTGTCGTTTGTTGGTGTCGATGTCGATGTCGTTGTCGTTGACAATGGAGGAACCCAGTTCCCAGTTTTCAGTTTTCAGTTTGCAGTTTTCAGTTGCCAAATGACGGAGCCAAGCCGAAAAAGCCGGTTGCAGGCGCCAGGCGTTTTGGTGTTGTCGTCAGATGTCAGCGCAATTTGACGCCATTTTCATTGTTGTTGTTTGTTTGTTTATTTGTTGTTGTTGTTGTTGTTGGTCGTTGGTCGTTGGCGCAAGTTTTTGCAAGTTGTTTGGTTTTTGGCCAAGGATATGAAATCGGTGTACGGATATTTCAGGAGCAATTAGTTGGAATTGGGTTTTGCGGTTGCCCATTGCATTAGATTGTTGTGAATGTGTGTGTGAGGAAGAAGAGATAACATTTAGCAATTAGTTAACATTTGTGGCTGCTTAAGTTGACTCTTTTCATTTGTTATATCAAATATTTTGATAGTTTGAAACAAACAGAACTGAAGAAAATACATCGAAAAAGAAAATATATAAGTGTATATATAAATATGTATAGAAATACATATATATGTATACACACATATATGAGGTGGATTGGGATGGTGGGAAATGTGGGCGGGTGCAGGTGCAGGTGCAGTTATCTAGCGGCTAAAGCATGCATTACACAACAAACAAACATTCAGATTGCAGTATAAATAATAAAAATTAAAAAAAATATATTTGAAAAAAGAATGATGGACTGAGAAGGTATCCTTTAGCTGTATGAATGGATATAGTAAAGCAAATTTTATCTGTGTTTAGTTGAAGCAAATCAAGCTAAATGCAAATCAATCAAAAAAATATACTTAACATTATAGGTTTTTATCTCCTAGCTGTTACGAGCTACACCACCGAAATAGATTCGATAATTATCTATATTTTCACATACTGAAAATGTTAAACGAATATACGATACAAACTGCAGCGCATACCTTACTTCCATTATTTTAATGGGTATGCAATACAAATATTAAAAAAAAAAAGTTGCCTACCTTAGTGGGCGGTGCAGCTTAACAGTCACTGGACAGTTTTCATTAACGTAATGCCCAATAACAGCAACTGGCTCTGTTTACTCCACACACACCGAAACGCTCTACTAAATGAGAGTAAACGTTAGAGGGAGAGGAAGAGGGAGAAGAAGAGTGTGTGTGTGCCGACTAATCGCACTATGAGCTCGCCTGTCTCTGCCCTCTCCCTCTCTAACTCTCTCCATCTCTCTCTCCCTCTATAGTTGAGTTGTGCTAAAAGCTTTAAGCTACTGCTGCTTTTGCTGCAGGCAGACAAACGGTTTCTAGCCTCTGCCGGCGTCGCAGCTAGAGCTTAGCAACAAATATCACAAAGTCAAATGCAAACACAGAGAGCAAAAGAGAGATAGCAAATTAAACGCTTCGCTTCAATTTCTGTTATAATTAAAGTTTTTGTTTTGCTTTCTTTGCGCGTGTGAGTGTGATTTTTTTTTCCGAGTAGCCATTTTAGTACAGTGGTTGCGAGCTGTTGAAAACTGGTCAAATCCACTTTGAGTTGTAATGGGAATATTTTATAAGTTTTGGTCCATATGCAGAAGCTGAACACATTATTAAAGCCAATTCTCATTTTATGTTTCTATAGCAGAAGCTAATAGCCATACCAGGTAGGCACACTTATTGATGTTTGCTGAAATTAACTTGAAGTGTTTTAAAATGCAAACATAACCCAATTTGGCAATTGTGAAGATACAAAAATTGAGTTGAAAATCGAATATGGATTCAGCTGCTGGCAATATAGCCAGAGCTCTGTGAGGATGGGGGCTGGCACAGGAGCAAACAAAGTAAATGCAAATGCAGCTGGGACTATAGCCAGCTGGCATGACCCCATTACCGCGCCGCTCCGTTTGAGCCGTGTCAATAGTAGCGCCGAAAAATGCTATAAACCAATAAATAGCGATTCAGAACAGAACCGAACCGAACCTGACACAGAGTCCGGCCTGGCCTGGACTTTGCCGGACTGTCACTTTATTTATTTACTCAATAAAGCAAATTTATCGAGTAATACAAAGGAGGCGCGGGGGAGGGGGGTTTTTCATTTCGATATACAAATTCTGATAGTGTATGTCGGAACAAACATAAAAAAAAAAAAAAAAAAACAAAAATTAAAAGGACACAAAGAAATTGTTAATAAAAAGTGGAATTGTGCTCTGTGTAAATGCAAATACAGCAAGCAAATGTCATAAAGTCAGGATACAGTTGCACTAAATACAGGACTACGCCGCTAAAAGGACTACGCAACTACACGTACGCATGCAGCAGTGAAGGATATATACATGTACATATTTACAATACGTATACTCTATATGCATACGTATATAGTACTCTACATATACATACATACATTGATATTTATATATTGAATATGGTGCAAAGTTTGTTTCGGTTTTAACTCGGTGCGCTTGAATTAATTTTTATTAAAACTTTTTCTCTTTGTAAACAGAAACAAAAAAATCGTTACAAAAATAATGTAAGTCGAGATTATACATAAGACAAAGGCAACAAAAAAAAAAAAATCAGTGAAAATAAATGAAAGTCGCGAGCAAAAACAATGCGACGATTATGTTTCGATTCTTTTGTTCAGCTCGATAGGCGAGAGCTCTCGATAAACCGGTGGTTGTTGTTGTTATTGTGGTTGCCTTTTGCCTAGGGGAAATATAAATCTTAAAAGTAATACTTATATATATGTATATATGTGTAATAATACAATCAGTTCTCTATAGCTCTCAGATATGTATGCCATGGACGAGGTTTATTCAAGAGGACCGCGAATCTGGGTTATATATACTCGATACTTTTTTTTATTTTCTTGCTGCTATGTTGGTACTCCTGTTCCGCCATTTTGTATGCTCAGTTCATTTTTAACAGTTATACATATACTATGGACTAGCTTTTGACCCTGTTTAACTTTTGTCTACTTCTAATATGGGGTCCCAGGAATCTGTATCAAATTCTGTACCATCAATAACAGAATAATGACCTGAGACTGAGGATGACCCCTAAAGGAAGGTATTACTATGGTTTGGGATATAATGACGGTGTCGTTAAATAAGCTGAACAAGATTAGATTTACGAATTGAAATGCTGAGAGATGGGTATTAATTAAGGGCCGCAAAATATTGTAGATATTCATTCATGAAATTACCGTTGGCTCTTTCAGCATTTCTCTCCAGCTTACTTCAATTTGATTTAATTGTATTGATGCAAATGAAGCGAATTCATTTCTACAATTAACAAGTTAAAAGTATGTTAATTTACTGCAACTAGCCATAAGCTGTGAAAAAGACTAAGTATATATAATCAAGCTAAGAACTGTAAAGCTAGACCTACTTTTTATTTAGCTATATGGAATCTACCTTATGGGCTCTAATAATGAAATTAATGAATCCAACTACAAATTCTAATAAAAGCTTAACTCTTTTAGCATGTATTAGATGCAGCTTTAAATTCTTTAAATTCTAATAAATGCTGAAGCTTTTTGCATTTATTAAATTTAGCTTTAAATTCCAAAATTGGTGTCAAAGTATATCTAATCTCGCTTTAGTTTGAAGCTGTAAAGCCAATCTATGTATAAGGTCCAGGTCTATTAGATCCAGCTACAAAATGTGCCTAAGACTTAATAGATTATTTAGACTGAAACTAGCTAAAAAACACTTTTCACAGTTTTTTTTTTTTATTTTATTTATATTTTTTAACTTAAACTCCTAATTTGAACATGGAAATCTATCATTTTTTTTTTTTTTTTTTTTTTTTTGTAAAAAATAAAATAAAATCGAGTATTGACCGTGGAGGAGTATTCTGCAGTTGGTAACGCCTGAGTGCAGCTTGTTGTTCTTTAATTTTGCTTATAAAGAGTGTTTGGCCTAGGGCATTCCATGTCCGTTTGAATTTTCGCAGTTTATTGTTTCAGTTTGCTCAACATTTGTTAATTTTTATTTTTTTTTATTTTTTTGTTGTTGCTTTTGCTGCTGTTGTACAATGCAATTTATTTTATTATGTTGACAATATTTTATTTATTGTTTAAATAAAATGAAATTGAGTATCGATCTACCTCGCTCGCTCACTCCACTCACTCCTTCTCGCTCTATCTAATTGTTGTGCTGCTCCTGTTTGATTGAAGTATCATAGGATTTATCTGAAATTGTATTTTTATTTATGATGCCATTTCGTTGATTAACACTCTTTGACGTGGCGCTGCACAATACAAAACAGTAAAAAAAAGCAACACTCGCACGACTGCAACCAGACACACACACACACACACACACACACTCACGCACCCACCCACAGTCACACTCAGTCGCACTCGCCTGTTTGCAATGTGCAAACAAAATGCATTTCATTGTGCGAAAGGCATTAAAAATGAATAAAAAAGAATATATAAAAAAAAAAAAAAATTATTTAGTAAACTATAGAGAAAAAAATGTATATATGTATGTATATAGAAATGTTATTTACATTTAAGGGCGAATTTGATGAAATCCCAACAATGTTTGTCTCCACATTTTGATGAGAGCCATGGCGGCCATAGACATCAATCGAGATTTGACTTAGTTGCAGTTGGGCAAACACTTCCAGCTATTTGGAGTTGGCTTTTTGATTTATTTATCCCACTTTTAGAATCAATAAAATTTAGTTGAATATAAGAGCTATCATAGCATAGAACTAGCTCCCTGCTTTGATATCCTTATCTAGCCTTAACAGGATTTGAGATATTTTATTGTGCAAGGCATTTTTTTGTGCAGCAACAATTGCAAGAGCTTGAGCAGAGCATATACCCTGGCAAATATACATCAAGAGTATATTCGTCTTGTGCGATGTTCGTGCTGCTGTCCGTCCGTGTGTCCGTCTGGCCGTAGTGAATGCAAATCATTTCGCTGCTATTGCAGCTAGAGACTTGAAATTGTATATATGCTTAATTTTACTGTGAAGATTTTTACTAACCGTCCAATAGGGGCGTGGCAATTCATAGCATGGATCTGGCTGTGAATGAATATTCTGCCCGACTGCAACATTGTTTACACTAAAACTTCGCTTGAATACGTTCCATAGCTCAAGCCCAAATAAATCGGGCTTTTATTTTCTTTATATGAAATTATATTGATTTTATTTTTAAATTATGAAAACTTGTTTTTCTTCAACTAATTGAATTTATAAACTAAAGACATGAAATTTTCTGTTTTGTGAAAAATGAAAATAGGTTCAGTACAAGTCAACTAAGATGTAAAGTTTTTGCTTACACCATTTTAATTAAATGGTTTTTCTTCTAGCCGAGTCGTCAGGGACTTAGCTGCTGGGGACGACCCATGGAATGAGCGGCAGAAGATAAATCAGAGTTTCTTAGAGCACTCGAAACAGGCTCCCACGGGCCGGCAGCTGCCCGTGTGGCTGGCATATTTGTTGCTAAGCTTGTTAGGGCAATGATTGCATAACTGGCTTAAACGATTACGTGTTTTCAATTGAGTTACGAAACCTTTTAATTGCGGATCAATTGCGCCTTTGGTTTATGTTATATTTTCTCTTGTTATTTTATTTAAATTACTTTTAATTTTTATTTTTTTTGGGCTGCATTTGTTTTCGTGGGCTTATGCCCTTCGCTTTGTGAAATATGCAGAGCAGTCTATTGGTATTTCAGCTCTGTCTCTTTCTTTCATTATATATTAGCAAGTCTTGCTCACGTCGCGTTGCATAAATTAAATGTGGGCGCCAATGATAATACGATGTGATAAAAACAATATAAAGAGTATCATATATTTATATATATATTTATAGTATATACATACCAATTAATATGTAAATACAATTTGATTTTTTAGTATTATTATACATGTTATTCAGATTAACCAGCTGGTTTATTGTATACATTTTCACATATATTGTATATATGAATACATATACATATATATTTATCAATATTTTTTATTTTTATTGGTATTTTTATACTCGTTCACAATGAATAATGTCATCCATGCATTTGTGCCCTGCTGGGGACTTTTTATGAACTTATACTAGTATATACTAAAAAGTGGGCTAAAATTACCTATCCAAGCTTAAGTCGGGAATCGGATCAGTGTTGAACTATTTACAATTTTTGGTATTTTTATTAGTATATGCCAAGCCTCATCAATATATAAACTAAATCTTACAGAAGTTCTCAAGTTGCATTGAAGTATTTATATTAGTATATACCAAATCTTGAGCTAACATCTCTATTTTTGTATGGTTGGTCAACTATATCTTCCACTATTTTAGATTTAATCCTCAGCTAGTTCCATATCCTATTTTGGTTTACCCCACATTTAGTTCTCTATTGCGAACGAGTATTATGCAGTCGACTTAGCCCGAAAGCTGAACATTCTGATACGCTATATCATGATTAGTTTTTGCTGTAGTTATTCAATTCTTGGTTTTGGTTTTGGTTTCGGTTTTAGTTGTTGAGGTGCATTTGGTGCTTTGAGTATGCAAAGTGCTATTATTATTATTATTATTGTTATTATATGGTAGCATATGGTAAGATATATTTACTTATACGATATATATATATATAGTTTCATAGGTAGTTGGGTGCTCTTTATATATATATTTTTTTATTGTGATGGTTGTGCAGTTTCTTTATTCGTTAGACTGATTCCAAAAGAGAGAGAGAGAGAAAACTGAAAAGATTTTGTGCACTTTCAACTGTGAAACTTTGGTGCGAATCGTGAACGGAAAAACGTACTGGGCAAATGAAACGATAAACGATAAACGATAAACGACTTGTTATTGTCTGGTTAATAACTCAAAACGCTTTGGATATTAAAACCGATACATACCTTGGCTGGAACTGACGCACCGTCACCACTCACCCGATGACCGCCCAAATTGTTGACAACACACGTGAAGGTCGCGTCCCGGCCCTGGGCGATGGTCACGTTCTCCAGCGGTATGACAAAGTCCGGCTCGAAGGCGCCCACTGAGGAGATTTTGTTTGAAACGGAATTATCTTCATTTCAATGAAGAGAGAAACATTAATTGAACAATTAACGTATTTATATATGTATATGTATGTGTCAGCGTGTGTTCCGCGTATGTATTTGTGTGTGCTGAGTGAGAAAGTTGTTGAAAAAGATTTAAAGAACGATCAACATCAGGCAAGCGCTATATCGATATCCGCTCGGTTGGATTTTGCTATCGATGGCGCAAGAGCAAAGCTAATATTGTATATCATTTGTGTATCGATAATTGGTGTTTACACAAACGATAGACAGCCTATCGATAGTCAAGTTATTTTGAAAAATTTCGATATCTGCATAACAACCGATAATTTATATAGAACGGAAAACTGAGTATTGACAATAGTTGAACAAAATCAAAAATAAACAAGCTATCGATATACACGTACATATATACCCGATTGAAAAATATTTTTGCCGTGAAAACTGATATATATCGATATTTTCACTGGCGACATATATTGACAAATTCTTAATTAAAGTAAAAAAATTAAATCAAATACAATTCAACATAACTTCACAAACTAAGGATTCAATATTCGATAAATAATCAATTTAAAAAACCTTTTAAACCTTTGTTGATTGACTTGATAAGCAGCAATGGCTGATCTACGGCTCTGATTAAGTCTGGACTATCGATAGTTTGCTGAACGATAATTATCGATTAACGATTAGCAAGCATGCGAGATATTTTTGCGCAACGCTTCGATACATGCTCCATTCCACTTACCAATGCAATTGCAAATCAATAACAGCAGCAACAGCTGCAGTCGCCTGCAGCCTCCATTGGCCACGGCCACGCCTACGCCCACGCCTACGCCCACATCGGCAAATTGAAAATGCGCCAGCTTCTGTCTAAATATAGATTGATTGGTCTGCCTTCGGCTAATGGTCTCTAATTGTCGCTGTGGCTGGGCTTGGGGCTGTTGTTGTTGTTGTTGTTGTGACTGTTGCTGTTGTTGTTGTTGTTGTTGTTGCTCCTTCCAACTGTGCTTCTGGAAGTTGAAGTTCTCGCTGCAATTCAGTTTGCTTCGATTGCGAATGCTGTTGGCGCTTTGGTCGCCGTTATGTGGGGCCACCATTATCATCATCATAAGCCTGATGTACTAGTTCCCATTAGCATTGCTTCACTGTAATGACGGTCGCTGCGCTCGCTCGCTGTGAATTGGTTAAGTGAAAAATTCAGTTATGCAAATGTGGCTGTGGATAGTTAGCAGTCGATGCCTAACGTTTCCTATGCCTACCTATGCAGCTCCTCTATAAAGAGATGACCCTAGCATCATTCTAGATAAGCGAATTCTTTCATTTTTAAAACTCTTTCATTTCCCTTGACATTGCCATTGAGTTTGCTTTACAAATATATATTTGCTCCCTCATTTCGATGGGGTTTGCCAGCGAGCGAACAAAGCGAGTGCAAACTGTTGGCCTTTATTGCATTTGCGTTACAATCGAATGGACTAAGCTGCAAAGCTGCAAAGCTCTTGCAAATGCACTCAGCTGTCTCGAGCTGAGCTATAGACACACTATTGATGATAAGTGATCCGTTGACAGTTTGAAATTGGCTTTAAGTTGATTTGACTCAATGGCCCCCAACACAAAATCTGCTGAGATTCCCAATGCATTTTTCCAACAGTTGCTGAACTTGAAAAGGTTCTTTTTTTTTTTTTTTTTTTTTTTTAAATGAGAGAATTCTGCATCTCTCTAATTTCTCATTAATTGCAAAATGAATTTTTAGTTGATTCAAGAATTGATGCCATTTCGCGACTTCTGCTTAAGAAATGTATTGCAGTTCAATTGGATCTTGAACTGGAATATAAAACAGCTGGAGGGTATCTGGGGAAGGGAACATGATTTTATGTCATCGAAGCGACAATAAATTTATATAGATATTTTTTATATGTATGCTGAAATATACATATACTAAATATACTTTCTATCAGCTTAATTATGAATAATGAAGTATGCGGCATTTGAGTTTATTCACTAAGTCGAGTCTTTTATGAGTATTATAGCTATATATAGTTTTTGTTTATTACTTTTTTTTTAAATTTATTTGTAAGCAACATTAAAAAAAAATATTTTATATATTTTTATTATATTTTTTTATAAAAAAAAATGTGATTTCATCAATTTTATTTTATGGGACATTTTATTCTCATTTAAACGTGCTACTTTATTTATCGGCTTACAAAAGTTTTGTGTTTCACATTTTCCGTTTGAGAGTACAGGACACCCTAGTCCTTTTCATATATGCACTGGAAATTAATTTCTATGAAAACTAACATATGCAAAGGGGGCAAAAACTTCTAAAAAAAAACCCCCACAGTATAAATTTAACTTAAAAAATATTCCTATTTTCACTGAGGGTATGTCAAATAAAACTTTTAATTGGTGGGTAAATGGAGTCCAAACATCTATTTATAAATTTGGAATGAAGCCTTTAGACTTTTGCAGATGCTAATTCTACCTGTACTTGATGTTCTAACTCCCCAGTAGAGTATTAGCACATTAGAATAATTTAATATAATATAATTTTTAATAAAATTCTTTTTGCAAATAAGTTGAGAATTCACTTGACTCTCATTACTCGTAGTAACTAATTTGAATTGAATTGCTTATCATTTAAACCAGCTCGATTAACAAAATACACAATTTAGCATACAGATGTTAAATATTTTACTCAAGTAGAGACAGAGAGAGAGAGAGAGAGAGAGAGAGAGAGAGAGAGAGAGAGAGAGAGAGAGAGAGAGAGGGAGACAGAGAGAGAGGCAGTGCAATAAATTGTTGCATATTGTGGCAAAGTCATGAACGAACGCAAAGTATCGTGTATCGTGTATCGCATATCGTGTAGATGCTTTATCTATTGACAAAGCGTTGTAAGCAGACACAGCTGTGTGTGTGCGAGTGTGTGTGTGTGTGTGTATATATTTGCGTATGTATGTGTGTCTATTCCAGCTTGGTTGCATTTGCCTCGCCTTTGTTTGGCGACGACAACAATTTTTATTGGCAGACAGAACGCGAACGCGCATTCATCTTGCCACTGGCTGCGGAGTCCGAGTCTGGCTGCAGTCCGCGCACGTGCCGCTATTTACATTTGCACGTAATAAATTCACAAGGACGGAATGGGACACGGACCAGGGGACAGGGGATAGGGGACAGGGGACAGGAGATGCGAGGGGGGATGTAACTAGAACGATTCGCAACAGGAAATAATGCTAAGGAAGTGCATTTGCCAGCAGAGCAGTTCCAGCCATTTGGCAACGAATGCCAATGGCAGCGACGTGTTGCATGTCCACTTCAAGTAGTCAACAGAGAGACACACACAGACACACACACACACACACATGCTCACTCTGTTACATCCACACGTATTTACATTTGACAGCATTTAATGAGCTTAGCAGCTGAGCTTTAGAGCGAGAGCCCTGTATCAACAGCAGATCGAAGCTTGTATCCCATTAGGCAATGTCTCTCTATCTCTTTTGCTTCCTCTTTCTCTCCCTCTCCCTCTCCCTCTCTTTCTCTGTCTCTCTGTCCTTCCCTTGACACACACGCGTGCTAGCCATTTTATTAGATACGTGTCCTATCTATTGCAGTCATTCAACAAGCTAAACACAGCCAGAGCAGGGGGAGGGGCGTCGTGGCTGGCCTGATCTGCACTTGTTCGAGTTTGGGTCTGCAATTTGCCTTTTTTTCCTTTTTTTTTTGTTTTTGTTTTGTTTTGTGCTGAGCTCTGTCATAATTGTGCCCTGGTTTGCTTTACTATTCCCCATCATTTTCTACTTTTCCTTTTTTTCTATTTTGTTTTTGGCTCAGGCATTAGCATTACGAAACGGATTACGGAATACAGTTGACTCATCTACTTAGCCAAGTAGCCGATAGGCATATGAAAAGCTGAGTCTATGGCCTGGCCCCAAATGGGAGCAATGGGAACAGAAATTGCAGTGCAACAACAATTATCTGAGATATTTCATTGCATTTGGTCTTATTTTAAAGCCACACTCATATCATTGTGGCTGAAGTAAGGCATCGTTCAACTGACCTGATTTTGCATGACTTTAGTCAATGCCTGCAATGTTATGCGGTTAACATTGTGTCGAAAGTTGAGCTAATTTCTGTTAACTACAGAGCTGATGTTGCTTCAGGGTAAGTAATCGAGCAGCATCTAATCACTTGATTGGCATATCAAACCAATTGATGTTGCATTGCGTACAGTTCTCTATTTCTGTTTATAGACGGCGTATCGTTGAGTCCTTTCAACTGGATAGAAATTTGCTTATCAAATATGACAAATATAGCAAATAATGTTAAGTAGTTTAATCCCGAAATGTTATCGATATTTAAGGCTATCGACGATTATATTGGATTATTATAAAATATATACGGACAAGGCAATCTATGGATCTAAGATAAGGTAACTATACAAATTGATATACTCTAGATATTTATATGGCATATATTCGTCTGTATATTTTATATTCTCCTTCTTTTAATATTTTCCCATGAAATGGTTTATCGACTCACTTAAGCAATCGAGGAATAGAATTATAGTTAGCTTATTAGAGCATCACAGCTTCTGTATACTCAACCTAATGTGAATTTCAAGACTTCAGACTTTGTTTCCATTGGAATGCAAGAAGTGCAGTGAGAGTGAGAGGGAGACATAGAGAGAGGGCGAGTCAGAGAGAGGCAGCTACATAGACAATGAGAAAGTGAGAGAGGGAGAAACGAGTTATATTTAATTGAGAAGGAAATAAATTAAATTGAGCGTTAAGGGGCTCCAGGTCTGTGCAGACAGACATGCAGCAGGCATTCATTATGTTCCGTCCGAGTTGCATAGCAGCAACTGCAACAAATTGTTGGCAGTGAGTTGTAATCAAAATATTTGAATATATTTTTGTTCGGACTGTTTGTGAATTAAATTAGCATTTGCATATTTCAAATTATACGTCAGACTAAAAAGTCAGTTTAAGCTGAGCGAATGCAAAATTAAAGTTTTATTGCTTGGCCCAGCAATCACAGCAATTTATCGTATTTTTTCGAGTTTTTTTTTTCGAATTTCTAT